ACGCGCAAAGTAAACTCCGCCTCCATAACATATGTTCCCACGGTAGAGATTGTATTTCAAAGAAGTAAAATATACTGAATTCATCCTGTGTGTAAACTGCACCTCCAGAAAGAAGTTCATCGGCAGCCGTTCCATTCTCCCAATTTAGGTGCATCACAACCGTGGCTCCTGGATCAGACGTCGGTTCTCCGGAGGCATTTATGAGAGCCACAACCGGTTGCGGGGAACAGGCTGACAACGCCGAGCAACTTGGCCTGACTGTGAACCTTGCCCCAGTGGCCGTTCTCACAGAGACGCTGAGATAATTTGGCAACAGTATCGGTGTAAAACCCGGTTTCGTGTAACAGACTGCATAAGTGCCCGGGTTCGTGACCACTGTAACGTAAAGACTGGTGCTGCCATCGGGACTGGCACTTGACACCGCCGTGTATTTCCCATGTGCACAGATGTCACTTTCTGCAACAGCGTCTGGATGGAGAAAAACCAACGCCGCCTCATCGCTTGCACGCAAACCACTCCCTCGGAACTCCAGTTCTATTGGCGTATTCGTCAGTGCAACAGAGACCACCGTAAAACTCAGCACCGTGAGATCCACCTCAAAAGAATTGGGTGTAATAAGAACCATGGGTCCCGTGGACGCCACCGCCTGGAAACACAACGCGTAAGTGCCAGGGCTCTCAAATAACAGGTGGTAAACAATGTCACGAAGACCATATCCCGACTTAGAGGCTTCCGCCGTAACACGTGGAGTATAGGTTGAATTGGTACAGATATCGGCAGGTATGGATCCAGTTGCCGGAACACCAACTGCCACGAGCTGATCGTCCTGCGACAAACCACGTCCTTGTAAAATAACGGCGGCAGTTGTGCCTACTACAGGTGCCACTGGGAAAACAACAGACGCCACATTTGTTAAGTGAACCACCGGTCCAGCTCGTGATAGGGGCGGGAAAATGGTTGGAAGCGCGGCACCTTCAGAGAGATAACAAAGGGCGTAAGATGCCACAACATTCAACCGGGTTTTCCACACGCTGCTTTGATTCACTTGCGGCTGCAGTACAATGCGATCCCCTCCAGTCATCGTCGCTATACATGCCAGTGCGACCTCTTTCATGGTGGTGTCTTGAGTGATGTTGATAGGAGTGAGCCAAAGTTCTTCCATCGCCCCTGATACAGTACCCAATCGACGTACAAGGTGAATCTCCGCCTCTTCAGAGGTGTAAACAGTGTTAGGCGTCATAAACCAATCGGAAGGATTGGGTGCTGACGCCACCACCGTGCCAACTATTCGGGCACACTCCTCGGTGGAGTTTTCACCGCAGGGGCCCACTCGGTGAGAGTAGCAGATATAAAATATACCTTCTAATTCAACAGCGGTGGTGACAACAATTTGGTCACCTTCAGTAACAAGGCTTATAAATATGTCGCTAGAAGACGCCGGCGCGGTCAGTCCAACACAGTCGTCCGAATTCGCCACGAGCACAACGTAGTCAAGCGGTGTGGGAACGACAGCGAGAGCAAACCGAAACAGCTGAAGTGCCATCGCGGGGACGGGTTCTTTCAATACGGGAGGTACCCCCTCCACGACCTGCATCACAGACTCTGACAACATTGTAATCACCCCTTCAGAGTAATAGCAGAGTGAAACTATGACACCATCACCTGTTGGAGACCCTGTACGAAGTAAGGCCACGCCATTCCGAACAACGGCAACGCCATGAGGGAATTGAGTAATTGATGGCTCTGGGGTCACATAATACGGGAAGTTATTGCATTGATGCACGCTGTAAAAAACAAGGCCCCCTTCCACGGGCGCCGTTCTCGCGTCAATGGTCCAAGTATTCATCTCGCCATCCCAAAGGGTTTTCACATTTTTCGCCGGTATCGCACCACATGGGTTAGCCGCACCCACCACCAACGCATCTCCAGTCATGACTTTGAATTGTCCACCGTTAAGTTTGTAGCATACCCAGTAAAAACCCACAGCAGGAGGAGTGAAGCGAACAACCTGTACCGAAAGTGTACCATTGGCAGTTAATGGATAGTTCACCACACTCGTCTCCTGCGCTATTGTCTGGCACGCTGCATCTGTCTGAGGGTTTCTGGAGGGTATAAACTTTACCTGATCGCTCTTTTCCGCAATTGGATCTGCAATGAGACCAAACCCCCAAAATATAGCACTGACGAGTTGGTTGGCTCGTAGGAATGTCGCGGCGGGATGCGTCGTGTAGTTCCATGGATTGCGCCCGATCACCACAGTTTCAAAGCCCCAAACGATAACGTTGCCGTTGGATTTCCAGTAACATAACGTATGGTTCCCACTTGTTCCTGCCGCAAGCTGGAATAACAGATTCCTGGGCAACAAATCCGTGCGGGACGGAGAAGTGATAATGACATCTGCGTCATGGCCTGGTACAAGGCAGGAGAGATCGCCGGTGTAAAATGCAACGCGATCACTTTCCGACAAAGAGGGTGAGTCCTCTGACGCAGTGAAGTTGAGTGTGAAGAGTTCACCTTCCACGGCGTTTCCTGGGGTCTGGACAACTTCTGCAGGATCACGCGAGCCAATGACCAGTTCACCATAAACACGTGTCCAAACATTATCTGCTGCGAGTTTATAACAAAAAATAAATTCTCCTCTGATGGTGCTGCTCATGTTGAACATCGTCGTTGTGCTTGTGGCGTTTGTCACGGTCCATCCATCTGCTGTACCGGGAATGGCGTCTCCGGTGTCTAATGCACGCGATACTACTTCACTCGGTGGGACGGATGCATCTGTACACAATTCAGACCTTCTAATGATCTTCACGCGATCCATTGCACCAAGTGAACTTCCTCTGAATAAAATTTGATTCAGCTGCTGCACCCTCGCAGGCCCATTCGACACAGTGAAGCTAAATGGGTTCGCTGGCTGGAGCAAAAAAACATTCCCTGGTACCTCGCTCCATGATCCATCCTCTAATCGGTAACAGAGACGAACTTGGGAAGCACCTCGGCTAGCAGGATTCTGCGCGGCGAAGAAAACCCGAATATTGGTAATCTCTGCTGTACCACCAACAACCTCTCCAGCATTATCGGGAAGATTCCAACAGGAAAAGAGATTCACCTTGGGCCGCAGCACGGTCAACACCGGGTGTCAGCGGGAGGGCATCTCTGTCTTGCGCGTTTCGGAAAAACGTCACGTCTAATAATTGTCCACGACGTGGCTGTGGCGGGGTGATAGTAAACGAAGCAGGGTTGTATCCACTGACGAGAAATGGTAGCCCCACATCTTCCACACTGCAATTTACCGATCTGTAACACGCGACATATGAACCACCCATCATGGGATCAAATGAACCCAATGTCTGCGTACTGTTTCCATAGACACCATTTAAAGTGGGATTTGCCACAAAACAGCGTCCTTCACGGTACGCAAAAGGCGATGAAAAATGAATTGCCGTGGCGGCATCAAAATTGCCATCGTATACGGGTCCTGGCGAGAAGGGGACGGGTGGAAACGCAGCATAAGGCGTTAACACTCCCAATTGAGGATTTGCAGCAAAAAACGTTATAATGACACGTTGTCCCGCGGCGATACTGTGTTGCAAAAGAACCGATGCAATAAGGTGCGGGGCCACATCAAATTCAGAGATGGTGAGATCCGTAGCGTCTAGTGGGACGGCAAACTGATTATTCGCGGAGTCTTTGAAGCACAGACGGAAGGATACGGTTCCGGGACCTAACAGAGCCGGGGGAAGAACAAATGTGGCACCAGCCGTGGTTACCGGTGTTCCTCCAATTGCCTGCGCTGCATCTCCGACTGTAATGGTGCCGGAAACAGTTTGGCTTCCGTCGGCATAAAGGCATTGATCCGCACCATTCACAAAACGGAACGTATCCATCAGAGTAAATTGAAATCCATCTTGTTGCGATGCTGTTACAATGAGGCTCTGCCCAAGGCGTAGACACCCCGTGAAGGTGCCTGTTGGCGATGGCTGCGTGAATGTCAGTTCAGTACAGACAGGGCTCCAATTGGCAATCATGCTATTTGGCCCACCAATGCGGTAGCATATTTTAAAGATTCCCGTTCTCGGTGAAAAGGCAATGACGGCGGCGTTTTCTTTGCCTTCAATGCTGACCCCAGACTGAAAGACGACACTTGAGTCCGAAATACAAGGAGATGCTTGTGGCACTACTCGCACCGCGTCAACGTCCGTGCGCAGGGTGCTCGTCTCTTCGGTTCCCACAATGATGGCTCGCACGTACTGCATCGCGCGCCAGCTCGGGCCCTTACCAGGGTCGGGGCGTGAAGTGGATGGCGGCAGGTCGCATTTCGTCACGGCAGAGGGAAGTACATCGATGGAGTTTGTCACCGGGGCCCATGTCCCGTAAGTCAGTTTGTAACAGACAAAATGGTTTCCCAATCCATTCGTGGGATCAAATGTCACAAAGACATGAGATGAGCGCGTCACATTGCTCGGATCCAGTACCGGCGCGGGCACTGTCGAGAAGGAAGTGTCATCTACCATAAAAAGTGCCATAACATCCGCAGCAGGAGTCGTATCAATAAAGGATTCAACACAGTTTTCCGGCAATGGCACAAACGTGATACGATCCCCTGCTCCAACGACATCACCTGGATCAGACGATATGTGTGTAAACGTCAGACGAATCGTCTGCATCGCACGAATGAGGTTGGCAGAACTGGGGAATGTCGTCAACTCCATATACGGCCGTACCCAAAGTTGATTGGATGATGTTGCTGGGTTCACCGTACCGACACGGGCGTAAAACGTGGACAATTGCGGAGAGAGAGCACACACAATAAATTTGCCCGGCCTCTGATTGTAGCTATACTTGAACTGAAAGACGTACAAAGTTGGAGTT